TCAATACAATCGGTCATTGTTGTCGATGTGAGGGGTTTCCGCACAGTTTGGCTTTATGAAGCAGGCACGCAAATGGTTACGTCATGACGCAAACGATGATGCAGCACCAGTCGGGCTCTGAACGGTGTGAACAGAGTGGGAGCTGAACCGAAGAACCGGTTCAGAACCAGAAAAGCTCTAGCGCGGAGCTAGAACGGGAAAAGCCTTAGTGTGAAAGGGGCATAAGAGGAACACAGGACTTAAGTAGCAGAGCACAGCACGAACAACACAGAAAGGCAGGAGGCAACGAGCAGACAGGAGAACAGAGGAAGCAACAAGCCCACGGAGCAAGAGAAGCTAAACATCCAGGAAGGACGAGGTGGACTGGCTGTGATGGGCAGAGGCGGACAGTGAGGAGGATTATCACCAGCGGCTCTAGTAAGTGAAGTGGAGCAACAGAGGGGTGTAATTACGATTCACCCCTCTCTCAGCTAAGTACCCTTTTGGATCTCTTCAGCCTTTTAACCCTCGCTTTTAAATGCCTTTTTAACGCTTTTTTGGAGCATTTTAGTTCTTGCTTTTAGCCCTATTTTATAAACTTTTAGTATAACATCCACAGGACTCTGGACAATCAAGACACACTCCCTAGGCTTTTAAGTGTGCAGTGAAGTGTTTGTGCGGAGTGGCTTTTTAACTGAGTGTGTCTCACACAGTGGTTTGATTATATTGTTTATCTGCTCAGGGGATCTTGAAGCGCGTCCTCGGGCTACCTGGAGGGACAAGACCGAGACGCAAGACCTCTCGAGAGACTTTGGGCTGGGGCATTTTTATTCAATTTTTAACATAATAAACTGTTGTCAACGTTATTGTTTGTGATTTTAAAGAACCTGTGTAGCCTTTTAAATAGGAGTCCTAGGCTCCTTTCAACCTAGGTGGCGTTGTCGGCAACTATTTTAATTCTATCCTTTTAGTCTTAGTTATTTTCAAACCTCGCCACAGACTGTTTTTCTGGCGCTTGTCAGCAGGATCAGGTGCCTGAGCAGAGTTAAAACCAAGGTTTCTAATTTATGTTTTTATCCCTGGGTTTATTGTATTTTATCTGGGGTTTGTAATTTTATTTAAAAAATGATGATGATGCCTGTTTTCCCTGGTGCACCATGGGTACCAACGTTTGGGGGCCCAGATTCAGAACTGACGTATGGGGACTGGAAAGAACAAGTACAAAGGCTGGTTCAGTATGCTGGGCAGACAGAACAACACAAAGTGGGTGTTTTAATGGGAGCATTGACAGGAGTATAAGAGACAAATCAATGCAGAAGAGGAACGTAATACAATTGCTAAAATCTTTGCAGCACTCAATAGCATTTACCAAGTGCGGGCCCCAGTGTCTAGGTTAGACCACAGTTTTATGGGTGCCGGTAGAAACCAGATGAACCGATAAGATCTTATGTTCTCAGGTTGAGGGAGCTACATTGCAGGCTGCTACTGGCAAGTAGAGATGGACCCAAAGGACCGTGAGAAAACGGCCTTCACAACCCCTGTGGGTCTATTTGAGTTTCAGCGGATGCCTTTTGGGCTCTGGAATGCCCCAGTGACGTTCCAGCGCCTAATGCAGCAGTGCCTCAGTGGCCAAATCACAGACTCCTTACTAGTCTATTTAGATGACATCATTGTCTATTCCCCTGACTTTGCTACACACCTCTTACACCTGGAGAGGGTGTTTGAATGCCTATCGGGACATGGCCTGAAACTTCGGCCAGACAAGTGCAAACTCTTTCAGCAACAAGTCAGATTCCTAGGGCAAGTAGTTAACCAAGAAGGAATTATGCCAGACCCTGAACAAGTATCTGCTGTTGTTGATTGGCCTGTCCCCACCACAGCCAAATAACTAAAAGGACTTTTTAGGGCTGGCCGGCTATTATAGGCATTTTGTCCCCCGGGTTTGCTAAGGTCGCATGCCCACTAAAATGACAAGCGCCTTGGATCCCGTCACATAAGTTGGTCAGCAGAGGCTCAAACTCCCTTTGACAACTTGAGAAGAACACTAACAGAAGCCCCAGTTCTAGCCTATGCTGATTTCTCCCAGCCGTTTGTTGTCTATACAGACGCCAGTCACCAAGGGTTGGGAGCGGTATTGGCTTAAGTCCAGGAAGGTAAGGAGAGGGTGATCGCTTATGCCAGTCGGAGCCTGCACCCAACAGAGCGTAACGATGCTAATTATAGCTCCTTCAAATTGGAACTCCTTGCTTTGAAATGGGCCATGACAGAGAAATTCAAAGATTATCTGACCGGAACGGAGTTCCTTGTATACACAGACAATAACCCTGTTGCTCATTTACAATCGGCAAGGTTGGGTGCAGTGGAGCAGCGCTGGGTAGCGCAGCTCGCATCCTTCAACGTCGAGGTCAAGTACCGTGCTGGGAGGGAGAACATAAATGCAGATGCCCTCTCTCGGTTCCCGACAGCTTGCCCCCCACCAGAACAGTCGTCAACCAGCACTGCAGGTGAGATTACATCGGCAGCAGTGAGCCAGGAAAAAAAAAACCCGGGACAGACTAACGACTGGGTGGTTGAACAACAAGGTGACTCAGAAATTGAGGATGTAAACAGGTTTTTACACACACACACACACACACACACACACACACACACACACACACACATAGATAGATACATACAGTCAAACACCCTCCCCATCCCTGTACCTGGATAAAATAATTTCTCTGTATTTCCTCTTGAACTGGTCTGGACATCGCTTTAACTCCACATTCACACTGTTCCATAGTCTCACTCCACAGGCTGAGATACAACATTTTCTTCTGGTTGTACGGACCCTATGAATTTCGAATTGAAATGGTCTCGATGAACTCGTTGATGAACCCCCACTCGTTGAATGAATACTTTTAGGATAGTTCCTGGTAAAACGTTATTTGTTGCCTTAAACATGATTTGTGCCGTTTGGAATTCCACCAGGTCTGTACATTTTAACAATTTTGACTGCAGGAATAATGCGTTAGTGTGATCAAGACATTTGGCATTGTGAATGATTGGTATGGCTTTTTTTTGTAAAATAGATACTGAATGTATTGAACGTTTGTAGTTATTGCCCCAGATTTCAGCTCAGTAATTCAGATAATGTAAGACTGGTGAACAGTAGAGAATGCAAAGTGATTTCTGATCTAGAACTTGTTTGTTAAAATTGTCTATTTCGTCAAACCGAACGACTCTCCGGACCAAAATGCCAAATATAAAAATATTCAGCAGTAGCTCACATCCGGACCTGTCTCAGAAAACAGCCGACCGCCCGGGTCTCGAGCTGGGGAAGGCGTACCAAGAGATTTAGCAACCAAGAAACATGGTGCTATTGTTGCTTTTGAAAAAGAATCTCAGAACCACAGGTTTACCTGATAGGCAAATGTCGGAGCCGGTGGCAAGTGTTTTTTTTCAAAACCCCCGGACCCCCCCTAGTATTTCTCGGTAACCATCTTCCACAGCCCCACCTAATATATTTGTCACCAGCCGCACTACAATATTAAAATAGCTTTCATCATGGCTCACACTTAGGTTCTTCCTGGTCATTAGGGACCTTCCAAAGCAATAAGATCTATGACTGCAAACTTAAAGTGGTGTTGGGTTAAAGATAAGGGATGAGAATACAAGTGCCTTTGCTTCTCTTTTGGGAATATTTAAAAAAGGTACCTGCTTTGTGTATTTTGAGAAGGTGCACATTCAAGAGAGAGAAAACATGATTATTGTCTAATGTGTGCGTTGTTTTTATGTCTGGGGTCAAAATGTAATGTATTTATGTATTGCTGAATAAATGCTACAACTCCTTAAGAACCGAGCCAAGTCCCTGAGTCTTCAACCTCTTCCTTCCTGCTGGTTGAAGTGACGGGGTTAGCACAAAAGACAGCGTCAGGCTCATGGTCTGCCATTACTTTAAGACGTTTGGTCGCTCTGGCCTACGTCTGTTGTAATGAACTTTATTTATATAGCACCTTTCATGCAAGATGCAGCCCAAAGTGCTTTACAGAGCAAGACAAGATATTAAAATATAAAGAGTGAGGAACATAATAAAAAATAAAAAAATAAATGCATGTATAACCTGAACACTGCATTGTACATGTTATTTAGATCTATCGTTGCAGAAAACTGAGCAATGAGAATATGTATGCTGCAGGGAAGTCCCATCAATGTGTAAATTGTTAAATTACCTTTAGAAATCCAGCATATGCCTTGGTGAATAAGGGTAAAAAGGGAACATTGTAGGCTGATCAAAAGCTAAGATTGTTTTGTTTGTCATATATGAAATTGTATGACAGATTGTTTGTTCTTTTAATTAGAAATTAAAGAGAAAATAACCCCAGCAGCTCCTCAGGATGATGTACTTTCAAGTTACTGTATTGCATGTGGCCTCTTATTAACAGCTTTAGGTATAGGGGGGTGATAACCACAAAAAAAGGGGTGGTCCTCGTCTAGCTCCAGAGTACATGAAAGTTGTCATAATCCATAATAAGCAAGTTTCTATCTTCGTCCTTTGATACAGCTGTTTCCTGTCCAGTATCAAGTTAAGGTATAGGGATGATTATCAATAAAAAAGCACAATCCCCATACCACTGCGCAAGGGGGGTGGTACAGCCTTACAATTTGGTTTGTGTGACTGGGGCGTGGTTAGGTCTATATTCATCTTTACAATTATATTGAACTTTTGAGTACATTTCTACAATGCTTACATTTCTTTTTCAATAAAGATAACAAAAGGTCTAAGTGAAAATGAAGAATGGAATTTCTGGTTAGAAGATGGTTTGGATGGCACATGAACAAGGGCAACATCACTGCAGCTAATGTCTACCTCTGTACTTATCTACCTCTCTTCCTATCTAGAGAAATCACTTATTGACTTAAAAATGACAAACTGCTTAGATTCTAGGTTCTTCTACTTAATGATAATCAATTTAGGTGACGTAAGTGTCAAGACAGTAATGTCACGAGTAATGAGTAATGTCAAATCAACAACCGACAAAATTCTAAAAAAAAAACATTTATTAGCTCTAATGTACATTACAAAAATGATACAATTAAAATATATAATTAGTCTATTTTTCTGACTTGCATATCCCAAAGTGTAATGACAAAAAGTATAAAAACGAATTCAATGGTTGTACTTTTTAGTACTTCAATGGATTCCTAGTGACATCGAGAAACAGATTAGAAGTTCACTTTTGTCCCTTTTTCATTAAGAGGAAGAGTAAATCCTGTTTGGTCCATCAGTCGCTGTCGGACTTTATCAAGCTGCCAAAGTAAGCCGTCAAAGTCTTCAGCTTGTTGTTCAGGATGTTCTGCTCCACCTCCACCTTCCCTCCGGCACCAGCCAGAGAGGCGATCTGTGCACACAGACATATCATCAGACAGCAGAGATGGCAGAAGTACACATATCCTACACTCAAGTAGAAGTACACATACTCATGTTTAAAAATACTCAGGTAAGAAGTACTGACTACACTTCTTTACTAAAGTAAAAATAAAGTATGCGCTTTGAAATGTACCCAAATAAAAATGATTCATAACTACCAACTGTCTTATAGAGTCAAGCTGGTAACTGCACCTCACTTTATATTAATAGAACATTAAATAACTTGCATAAACACATCAAGTTTTCTGGAAGACAGTAGGTTGAAATAGGCGCAGAATGAATCTAAATAATAATGATCACGCCACCAAATGCGGATTAAAACTAAAGAAACTAGCCCGTTTTGAAAATCGAAGAAGTAGAAATAACAGGTATTTGTGGAGGAGAAAAGTAAAAAGTTGTCGGGAAAAAAAGTGTGGAGTAAAGTCCTGACACAGTATATGACTTCACTGCTTCTCACCTGTCAGACAGTGAGCTAATAATGTGAAACCTGAGGGAAAGGTAACACACAGATCGCTGTGTTGTTCCATCCATCTGTAATGTCACTAATAATCTCGTATATCAAACAAGCCTCCTAAATGCTTTGTTTGTTCAGATTATTATTATTGTATTTCCACCAAATATGATCTGAACTGGCCTCTTGTAGTTAGAAGCTGAACTGGCTCTGTAGTAGGGAAGCTGAAACTTGCTCTGTAGTAGGAAGCTGAAAACTGGCTCTGTAGTAGGGAAACTGGCTTGTGGTAGACGCTGCTTGAAAACTGGGTCTGTAGGAGAAGCTTGAAAAAAAACCTGGCTCTGTAGTAGAAGCTGAAACTTGGCTCTGTAGTAGAAACTAGCTCTGTAGTAGAAGCTGAAACTGGCTCTGTGGTAGAAGCTGAAACTGGCTCTGTAGTAGAAGCTGAAACTGGCTCTGTAGTAGAAGCTGAAACTGGCTCTGTGAGTAGAACTGAAAACTGGCTCTGTAGTAGAAGCTGAAACTGGCTCTGTAGTAGAGGAACTGGCTCTGTAGTAGAAGCTGAAACTGGCTCTGTAAGTAGAAGACCTGAAACTGGCTCTGTAGTAGAAGCTGAAACTAGGCTCTGTAGTAGAAGCTGAAACTAGCTCTGTAGAAGCTGAATGAAACTGGCTCTTGTAGTAGAAACTGGCTCTGTAGTAGAGAATGAAACTGGCTCTGTAGTAGAAGCTGAAACTGGCTCTGTAGTAGAAGCTGAAACTGGCTCTATAGTAGAAGCTGAAACTGGCTCTATAGTAGAAGCTGAAACGCTCTGTAGTAGAAGCTGAAACTGGCTCTGTAGAGAAGCTGAAACTGGCTCTGTAGTAGAAACTGGCTCTGTAGTAGAAGCTGAAACTGGCTCTGTAGTAGAAGCTGAAACTGGCTCTGTAGTAGAAGCTGAAACTGGCTCTGTAGTAGAAGCTGAAACTGGCTCTGTAGTAGAAACTGGCTCTGTAGTAGAAGCTGAAACTGGCTCTGTAGTAGAAGCTGAAACTGGCTCTGTAGTAGAAGCTGAAACTGGCTCTGTAGTAGAAGCTGAAACTGGCTCTGTAGTAGAAGCTGAAACTGGCTCTGTAGTAGAAACTGGCTCTGTAGTAGAAGCTGAAACTGGCTCTGTAAGGTAGAAGCTGAAACTGGCCTCTGTAGTAGAAGCTGAAACTGGCTCTGTAGTAGAGGAACTGGCTCTGTAGTAGAAGCTGAAAACTGGCTCTAGTAGTAGAAGCTGAAACTGGCTCTGTAGTAGAAGCTGAAACTGCTCTGTAGTAGAAGCTGAAACTGGCTCTGTAGTAGAAGCTGAAACTGGCTCTGTAGTAGAAGCTGAACTGGCTCTGTAGTAGAAGCTGAAACTGGCTCTGTAGTAGAAGCTGAAACTGGCTCTGTAGTAGAAGCTGAAACTGGCTCTGTAGTAGAAGCTGAAACTGGCTCTGTAGAGAAGCTGAAACTGGCTCTGTATAGAAGCTGAAACTGGCTCTGTAGTAGAAGCTGAAACTGGCTCTGTAGTAGAAGCTGAAACTGGCTATTGTAGTAGAAGCTGAAACTGGCTCTGTAGTAGATAGCTGAAACTGGCTCTGTAGTAGAAGCTGAAACTGGCTCTGTAGTAGAAGCTGAAACTGGCTCTGTAGTAGAAGCTGAAACTGGCTCTGTAGTAGAAGCTGAAACTGGCTCTGTAGTAGAAGCTGAAACTGGCTCTGTAGTAGAAGCTGAAACTGGCTCTAGTAGAAGCTGAAACTGGCTCTGTAGTAGAAGCTGAAACTGGCTCTGTAGTAGAAGCTGAAACTGGCTCTGTAGTAGAAGCTGAAACTGGCTCTATAGTAGAAGCTGAAACTGGCTCTGTAGTAGAAGCTGAAACTGGCTCTGTAGTAGAAGCTGAAACTGGCTCTATAGTAGAAGCTGAAACTGGCTCTGTAGTAGTAGAAGCTGAAACTGGCTCTGTAGTAGAAGCTGAAACTGGCTCTGTAGTAGAAGCTGAAACTGGCTCTGTAGTAGAAGCTGAAACTGGCTCTGTAGTAGAAGCTGAAACTGGCTCTGTAGTAGAAGCTGAAACTGGCTCTGTAGTAGAAGCTGAAACTGGCTCTGTAGTAGAAGCTGAAACTGGCTCTGTAGTAGAAGCTGAAACTGGCTCTGTAGTAGAAGCTGAAACTGGCTCTGTAGTAGAAGCTGAAACTGGCTCTGTAGTAGAAGCTGAAACTGGCTCTGTAGTAGAAGCTGAAACTGGCGCTGTAGTAGAAGCTGAAACTGGCTCTGTAGTAGAAGCTGAAACTGGCTCTGTAGTAGAAGCTGAAACTGGCTCTGTAGTATAAGCTGAAACTGGCTCTGTAGTAGAAGCTGAAACTGGCTCTGTGGTAAAAGCTGAAACTGGCTCTGTAGTAGAAGCTGAAACTGGCTCTGTGGTAGAAGCTGAAACTGGCTCTGTAGTAGAAGCTGAAACTGGCTCTGTAGTAGAAGCTGAAACTGGCTCTGTAGTAGAAGCTGAAACTGGCTCTGTAGTATAAGCTGAAAACTGGCTCTGTAGTAGAAACTGGCTCTGTAGTAGAAGCTGAAACTGGCTCTGTAGTAGAAGCTGAAACTGGCTCTGTAGTAGAAGCTGAAAACTAGCTCTGTAGTAGAAGCTGAAACTGGCTCTGTAGTAGAAGCTGAAAACTGGCTCTGTAGTAGAAACTGGCTCTGTAGTAGAAGCTGAAACTGGCTCTGTAGTAGAAGCTGAAAACTGGCTCTGTAGTAGAAACTGGCTCTGTAGTAGAAGCTGAAACTGGCTCTAGTAGTAGAGCTGAAACTGGCTCTGTAGTAGAAGCTGAAACTGGCTCTGTAGTAGAAGCTGAAACTGGCTCTGTAGTAGAAACTGGCTCTGTAGTAGAAGCTGAAACTGGCTCTGTAGTAGAAGCTGAAACTGGCTCTGTAGTAGAAGCTGAAACTGGCTCTGTAGTAGAAGCTGAAACTGGCTCTGTAGTAGAAGGAAACTGGCTCTGTAGTAGAAGCTGAAACTGGCTCTGTAGTAGAAGCTGAAACTGGCTCTGTAGTAGAAGCTGAAACTGGCTCTGTAGTAGAAGCGGAACTGCTCTGTAGTAGAAGCTGAAACTGGCTCTGTAGTAGAAGCTGAAACTGGCTCTGTAGTAGAAGCTGAAACTGGCCTCTGTAGTAGAAGCTGAAACTGGCTCTGTAGTAGAAGCTTGAAACTGGCTCTGTAGGTAGAACTGAAACTGGCTCTGTAGTAGAAGCTGAAACTGGCTATGTAGTAGAAGCTGAAACTGGCTCTGTAGTAGAAGCTGAAACTGGCTCTGTAGTAGAAGCTGAAACTGGCTCTGGTAGTAGAAGCTGAAACTGGCTCTGTAGTAGAACTGGAAACTGGCTCTGTAGTAGAAGCTGAAACTGGCTCTGTAGTAGTAGCTGAAACTGGCTCTGTAGTAGAAGCTGAAACTGGCTCTGTAGTAGAAACTGAAACTGGCTCTGTAGTAGAAGCTGAAACTGGCTCTGTAGTAGGAAGAAGCTGAAACTGGCTCTGTAGTAGAAGCTGAAACTGGCTCTATAGTAGAAGCCTGAAACTGGCTCTGTAGTAGAAGCTGAAACTGGCTCTGTAGTAGAAGCTGAAACTGGCTCTGTAGGTAGAAACTGGCTCTGTAGTAGAAGCTGAAGCTGGCTCTGTAGTAGAAGCTGAAACTGGCTCTGTAGTAGAAAGCTGAAACTGGCTCTGTAAGTAGAAGACTGAACCTGGCTCTGTAGTAGAAGCTGAAACTGGCTCTATAGTAGAAGCTGGAAACTGGCTCTGTAGTAGAAGCTGAAACTGGCTCTGTAGTAGAAGCTGAAACTGGCTCTGTAGTAGAAGCTGAAACTGGCTCTGTAGTTAGACGCTGAAACTGGCTCTGTAGTAGAAGCTGAAACTGGCTCTGTAGTAGAAGCTGAAACTGGCTCTGTAGTAGAAGCTGAAACTGGCTCTGTAGTAAGAAGCTGAAACTGGCTCTGTAGTAGAAGCTGAAACTGGCCTCTGTGGTAGTAAGCTGAAACTGGCTCTGTAGTAGAAGCTGAAAACTGAAACTGGCTCTGTAGTAGAGCTGAAACTGGCTCTGTAGTAGAAGCTGAAACTGGCTCTGTAGTAGAAGCTGAAACTGGCTGCTGTAGATAGAAACTGGCTATCTGTAGTAGAAAGCTGAAACTGGCTCTGTAGTAGAAGACTGAAACTGGCCTCTGATAGTAGAAACTGGCTCTGTAGTAGATAGAAGCTTGAAACTGGCTCGATAGTAGAAGCTGAAAAACTGGCTCTGTAGGAGAAGCTGAAACTGGCTCTGTTAGTAGAAGCTTGACTTGGCTCTGTATAGGAAGCTGGACTGCTCTGTAGTAGAAACTGGGCTTGCTGTAGTAGAAGCCGAAACTGGCTCTGTATTAGAAAACTGGCTCTGTAGTGAAACTGGGCCTTAGTAGAAGCTGAACGGCTCTATAGTAGAAGCTGAAACTGGCTCTGTAGTAGAAGCTGATGAAACTGGCCTCTGTAGTAGAAGCTGAAACTGGCTCTAGTAGTAGAAGCTGTGAAACTGGCTCCTGTAGTAAGAACGCTAGACTGAAACTGGCTCCTGTAGTAGAAGCCTGAAACTGGCTCTGTAGTAGAAGCTGAAACTGGCTCTGTAGTAGAAGCTGAAACTGGCTCTGTAGTATAAGCTGAAACTGGCTCTGTAGTAGAAGCTGAAACTGGCTCTGTAGTAGAAGCTGAAACTGGCTCTGTGGTAAAAGCTGAAACTGGCTCTGTAGAAGAAGCTGAAACTGGCTCTGTGGTAGAAGCTGAAACTGGCTCTGTAGTAGAAGCTGAAACTGGCTCTGTAGTAGAAGCTGAAACTGGCTCTGTAGTAGAAGCTGAAACTGGCTCTGTAGTAGAAGCTGAAACTGGCTCTGTAGTAGAAACTGGCTCTGTAGTAGAAGCTGAAACTGGCTCTGTAGTAGAAACTGGCTCTGTAGTAGAAACTGGCTCTGTAGTAGAAGCTGAAACTGGCTCTATAGTAGAAGCTGAAACTGGCTCTGTAGTAGAACGCTGAAAAACTGGGCTCTGTAGTAGAAGAAGGCTGAAAACTGGCTCTGTAGTAGAAGCTGAAACTTGGCTCTGTAGTAGAAATGCTCTGTAGTAGAACAAATGACTGGCTCTTGTAGTAGAAGCTGATGAAACTGCTGCTGATAGTAGAAGCTGAAACGTGGCTCTGTAGTAGAAGATGAAACTGGCTCTGTAGTAGAAGCTGAAACTGGCTCTAGTAGTAGAAGCTGAAACTAGGCTCTATAGTAGAAGCTGAAACTGGCTCTTGTAGTAGAAGCTGAAACTGGCTCTGGTAGTAGGGAAGCTGAAACTGGCTCTGTAGTAGAAGGGACTTGAAACTGGCTCTGTAGCTAGAAGATAGAAACATGGCTCTGTACGTAGAAAGCTGAAACTGGCTCTGTAGTAGAAGCTGAAACTACTGGCTGCTGTAGTAGAAGCTGAAACTGGCTCTGTAGTAGAAAGCTGAAACTGGGCTTCTGTAGTAGAAGCTGACTTAACTGGCTCTATGTAGAAGATGAAACTGGCTCTGTAGTAGAAGCTGATGGAACTGTGGCTCTGTAGTAGAAGCGTGAAACTGGTCGTGTAGTAGAAGAAGCTGAAACTGGCTCTGTAGTAGAAGCTGGACACTGGCCTCTGTAGTAGAAGCTGAAACTGGCTCTGTAGTTAGAAGCTGAAACTGGCTCGGTAGTAGAAGCTGAAACTGGCTCTGTAGTAGAAGCTGAAACTGGCTCTGTAGTAGAAGCTGAAACTGGCCTCTGTAGTAGAGCTGATGAACTGCTCTGTAGTAGGAAGCTGAAACTGGCTCTGTAGTAGAAGCTGAAACTGGCTCTGTAGTAGAAGCTGAAACTGGCTTCGGTAGTAGAAACTGGCTCTGTAGTAGAAGCTGAAACTGGCTCTGTAGTAGAAGCTGAAACTGGCTCTGTAGTAGAAGCTGGAAACTGGCTCTGTAGTAGAAGCTGAAAACTGGCTCTGTAGTAGAAGCTGAAAACTGGCTCTGTAGTAGAAACTGCTCTGTAGAGAAGCGTGAAACTGGCTCTGTAGTAGAAGCTAAACTGGCTCTGTAGTAGAGCTGAAACTGGCTCTGTAGTAGAAGCTGAAACTGGCTCTGTAGTAGAACTGAAACTGGCTCTGTAGTAGAAGCTGAAACTGGCTCGTAAGTAGAAGCTGAACTGGCTCTGTAGTAGAAGCTGAAACTGGCTATGTAGTAGAAGCTGAAACTGGCTCTGTAGTAGAAACTGGCTCTGTAGTAGAAGCTGAAACTGGCTCTGTAGTAGATAGACTGAAACTGGCTCTGTAGTAGAAGCTGAAACTGGCTCTGTAGTAGAAAGGCTCTGTGTAGAAGCTGAAATGGCTCTATAGTAGAAGCTGAAACTGGCTCTGTAGTAGAAGCTGAAACTGGCTCTGTAGTAGAAGCTGAAACTGGCTCTGTAGTAGAAGCTGAAACTGGCTCTGTAGTAGAAGCTGAAACTGGCTCTGTAGTAGAAACTGGCTCTGTAGTAGAAGCTGAAACTGGCTCTGTAGTAGAAGCTGATGAAACTGGCTCTGTAGTAGAAGCTGAAACTGGCTCTGTAGTAGAAGCTGAAACTGGCTCTGTAGTAGAAGCTGAAACTGGCTCTGTAGTAGAAACTGGCTCTGTAGTAGAAGCTGAAACTGGCTCTATAGTAGAAGCTGAAACTGGCTCTGTAGTAGAAGCTGAAACTGGCTCTGTAGTAGAAGCTGAAACTGGCTCTGTAGTAGAAGCTGGAAACTGGCTCTGTAGTAGAAGCTGTAAACTGGCTCTGTAGTAGAAGCGAAACTGGCTCTGTAGTATAAGCTGAAACTGGCTCTGTAGTAGAAGCTGAAACATTGGCTCTGTAGTAGAAGCTGAAACTGGCTCTGTAGTAGAAGCTGAAACTGGCTCTGTAGTAGAAGCTGAACTGCTCTGTAGTAGAAGCTGAAACTGGCTCTGTAGTAGAAGCTGAAACTGGCTCTGTAGTAGAAGCTGCTGAAACTAGGCTCTGTAGTAGAAGCTGAAACTGGCTCTGTAGTAGAAGCTGAAACTGGCTCTGTAGTAGAAGCTGAAACTGGCTCTGTAGTAGAAGCTGAAACTGGCTCTGTAGTAGAAGCTGAAACTGGCTCTGTAGTAGAAGCTGAAACTGGCTCTGTAGTAGAAGCTGAAACTGGCTCTGTAGTAGAAGCTGAAACTGGCTCTGTAGTAGAAGCTTAAACTGGCTCTGTAGTAGAAGCTGAAAACTGCTCTGTAGTAATGAGTGTAAACTGGCTCTGTAGTAGAAGTAGAAAGCTGAAACTGGCTCTGTAGTAGAAGCTGAATGAAACTAGCTCTGTAGTAGAAGCTGAAACTTGCTTCTGTAGTAGAAGCTGAAACTGGCTCTGTAGTAGAAACTGGCTCCCTCGTAGTAGAAGCTGAAACTGGCTCTGTAGTAGAAGCTGAAACTGGCTCTGATAGTAGAAACTGGCCTCTGTAGTAGAAGCTGAACTGGCTCTATAGTAGAAGCTGAAAACTGGCTCTGTAGTAGAAGCTGAAAACTGGCTCTGTAGTAGAAGCTGAAACTGGCTCTGTAGTAGAAGCTGAAACTGGCTCTGTAGTAGAAGCTGAAACTGGCTCTGTAGTAGAAGCTGAAACTGGCTCTGTAGTAGAAGCTGAAACTGGCTCAGTAGTAGAAGCTGAAACTGGCTCTGTAGTAGAAGCTGAAACTGGCTCTGTAGTAGAAGCTGAAACTGGCTCTGTAGTAGAAGCTGAAACTGGCTCTGTAGTAGAAGCTGAAACTGGCTCTGTAGTAGAAGCTGAAACTGGCTCTGTAGTAGAAGCTGAAACTGGCTCTGTAGTAGAAGCTGAAACTGGCTCTGTAGTAGAAGCTGAAACTGGCTCTGTAGTATAAGCTGCTGAAGAAACAACTGTACATTTTCAAGGGAGGAAGATATCCTTGAAGCCATAAGCTTAAAGGTGGGGTAGGTAAGTTTCAGAAACCGGCTCGAGTGCACTAACATTTGAAAGTACACAGCCGAAAAGAATCCGCCCCTTCCTTCAGACTTCCTTACAGAGCACCTCCTCCAACACACATGAACGTCAGCAGACTGGTGAAAGTGGCCGCCTGTTGCTGGCGAGTCATTCAAGTACTGATGCAATGCACGCCCAATGAGGGCACGCCCAATGAGGGCACGCCCAATGAGGGCACGCCCAATGAGGGCACGAGATACATTTGTGCGAGCACGAGATGGAAGGCTGACAGACAGGGCCGGCTAAACGGATTGGTCGTGCTTTTTACAGCGCCACAGATGACATTTTTTTATGGATTTTTTGTCAAAGCACTTCAGATATTCATTGCTATCGGGATGTTAAGAGCATTCCATGGAATATAACAAAAAGAGTATCTCGAGCCGGTTTCTCAAACTTACCTACCCCACCTTTAACTTACTACATTACCAAATTCAAAATGAATTTGATATACAAATCCACTTTATGTGCAAATGTATTTCAATGTAAGAAAAGAGATGGCCATGCCTAACTCAGAGTTCCATCAGGTGTTTGGACCACAGTTTACCTGCTTATAAGTCCAGTTCAGGTCGTTTTGTGAATCATGCAACACCGTTTTAAAGTTGTTAATGTGCTCTGTGACCTATAAATCAAGCAGCCATTAACTACAAAGTAAATGAGGTTAGTGTTCTTGTGCAATAAATATGGCTTTTACTATGCACGAAACACAGAGAGTGAGCATACACACCTGATCCATGTCAGCATTGCGAGGCAGGAAGTACACGATGTTGTCTGATATCAGTTTGGCCAGGCGGAAAATCTGAAATGTGTCAAATGTCAAGGATGAAAGATTATATTTAATGATATAAACAAAATTGACTTCTAAATATTTGAATGTTAAGCTGTCAACAGTTCGATCCCCATTCCTACATTCTGCACAAGGAAGGACAATGAAGGTAACATTTCTCCATAAGGCACCCCACTCTCCCCTTTTTATAAATGTCATTACTGGACCTATTTCTACCCTTCTGGTGAGAGTTATTACAAACCTTTGTTGTTCCCTATAGCAACGCCATCTACACAGAGAACCAGTAGAGTTCTTAAATACATTCTCATGAGCAATTTCAGACCAGCTTTTTATTTTGCGTGGTTCTGTAAAACCACCAAATTGTCACAGTGTTAACGGTCGATCGTCCAAATTATAATAGATTGTTCCTAATGCTGCTCCTGCTAGACTCAATTGGAACCATAGGTGAAAAAAACCGGCGGAGCAACGTTAAGGGAATATTTGGCGGCAATCTCGCTTTTCCACATATAAAATAAAAACATGTCAAGTCAAAAACACCACCTATATGATATGCTCAATAAAATTGAAACATCACAGTGAACTTAAGACCAGAAACATATTTACCACAAACTATAACCATGTTCGAGTAAACGGATAGAAATGGTGAATAATAATTCATCTGCTTTAAAAGGATATCCATCAGGTTGCATCATGGTCTCGATGTCAAACACCTCTGCAGTCAGGTAGTCCGGCCCCCCCCACGGTGGTGAGAGGAAGACCACATCTCCAAGGAGATGGGGCGCCAGCTCGAGGAAGTCCCCCTGCACAAAGTCGATTCTGTCGGCGACGTTGTAAACCACAGCGTTGTGGCGCGCCAAGTCCAGCCGCACCGGGTCGATATCGATGGCCAGGACTGAGACGAGACCCAAGACAGGAAGAGGAGAGATACAGAGTCTGTGATCTGGCTGAAGGATGCTTATAGACAATGGAACATGTTCAATCATGCTTTTGGACAGTCCATCACAGGCTGCAAACATGGTGGCCATCTTAACTGTTTAACAAAATGTTCTGTTCTATTATCTTTATACAAGCCCCCTATTAACTAATTAGAGAGCATTTTAATCTCAATTAATGCTGACATGGTATCATGACCTTTTTAACTTGATTTCTTAATACATCGTTAAAAGAACTAGGGTTGAAGGAGAATGCTGAGGCGAGGATAATAACAAAAGAGCAGCTCACATTGACAATGACCTTGCTCCTTTATCTTTAGGAGCTGAAGCTTTACATAATATTGCAACTTCTCATATCTTTAACTGTCTTTCAATTAATGTTCAGCTGACATATACACTCCAGATATATTCTGATCGAATTAAATCAGATAATAGAGACTAACTTGTTAGTGTTGGGTTATTGTTGGGCATTATCAACCATGATAATGCACTATTTGTAGTACTTTGAGAACATTTCTTACATTTCAGCTACATCAATTGTGAATCAGTGCATTTGTCCATTTGTACCTTTAAATTAAGTTTACATCCCACCCAAGACTTGTATGGTGATGGAGAGGATAGTGACATGAAAGCAGTAGAATGTACTTCCATAATCTATTGTGAGTTTGTATTGTCATTCTGATTATTATAGGTTATATGTTATGTATAGGGTTGGGTACCGAGAACCGGTTCCGGTTCCAACATTTCGATTCCAACGGCATCATTTAGAAATGTGAATTTCGGTTCCGCTTTTCGATGCCTGAGGAAATGTTTCTCGCCGCTCTCCGTAGCCTACTGTATGACTGCGGCGGGGCGGGAAATGTAGCGTTGTGCCTACACTTCCTACAGCGTAACCTGAGACCAGGGCCGGCCCCGGCACGTCGCACTGGCGTTATAGATGTTCGCCTAGGGCGCCAGATCTGTGGAGGCGCTGCGCTGACAGCTCTGGGAGGGAATGTTTTTTTTTTTACCATTGGTGCTCATCCTAATTTTCGGCCTTGATGTAACAACATTCATAATGAAGTAAATGTAACACCCTTTTCATCCCGGTTACACTTTTCATTTGCCCTGTACGATGGGCGCTGTAAGTGATGAAAATGGGGGATGTTGGCTTATCTGGCGCCCGCAGCTCACAGCCAAAGTGCGAGTGAGCGTGGGAGCGAGCGAGGGAGAAAGGGAGGGTGCACCGGTACCAGCGCTGTTGTTATTAGCATCTGGTGCTAGCTGCTCTAACGGAAGAAGAAGATGTTTCTACAATGATGTGGAGGGAGAGTCCTCTCCAGTCAGACTGAGAGGCTGATAACTACAGCTCAGTGAGGTAACGGACTCTCAGTGTTTAGATAGTTCACTTTAGTCTAAGTTATCTCAGTGGGTCTCAAACGGTTTGATCACAATTCACAAACAGATTGAAGAATTTTACTTTAAAATGTTCAAACATTTCTTCCCGGTATGCCTGAGAAGGCAGATATGCTTGTTTTTCTCAACAAGAACTGTTTTTAAATGGGGGGGGGTTTCCTTTAAAAGTTGGACTGTTGCACTGTTGTAGCTTCAGTGGTTCTTAGGTTACAGTTACATAGCAGTGAATATAAACAGACTGATTAATGTGAATATTACTGTAAAGTAAACTAACCTGTGTAAAAGTTTCTCGAATACATTTTTTTTTTTTTGGTGGAAGAAGCAATTTATAATTTTTTTACCCTGCCCCTCAAAGAATCGGAATTGAGAACCGTTAAGAACCGGAATCGTAAAGTAGAATCGGAATCGGAATCAGAATCGTGGAAATTCAAACGATACCCAACCCTAGTTATGTATATGAAGAACAGTAAGAAAAATATACATACAGATAATAATTCAAACAAATATGGACAACTCTGACACATCGGGTGAACTTTATTGATTAAAATGAACTTCAACTTGTAGAGGTCAGCAGAATAGAAAAAGGACCATAATGAAACAAAGTTGTCACCAAACACACACACACACACACACCTCTCTTTCCAGCGAGGGCGAACTGGATGGCGTTTCCTCCCACTCCACAGAAGGCGTCAATGATCAGCTGAGAGTCGGGGAAGCTGTGCTCCACCCGGAGGGCGATGTGTTCGGCGATCCTCTCCGGGGTCACAGAGAACCAGCCCTCTGAAACACACCCCCACATGTCACTGATCTAATGACCGCTGTGCAGGTCCCTATTCTGCAATCCTCTTTTCATGTCTTTATACATACAGTGGGGCAAAAAAGTATTTAGTCAGCCACCAATTGCGCAAGTTCTCCCACTTAAAAAGACGAGAGAGGCCTGTAATTTTCATCCTAGGTATACCTCAACTATGAGAGACAAAATGAGGAAAAAAAAAAATCCAGAAAATCACATTGTCTGATTTTTAAAGAATTTATTTGTAAATTATGGTGGAAAATAAGTATTTGGTCAATAACAAAAGTTCATCTCAATACTTTGTTATATACCCTTAGTTGGCAATGACAGAGGTCAAATGTTTTCTGTAAGTCTTCACAAGGTTTTCTCACACTGTTGCTGGTATTTTGGCCCATTCCTCCATGCAGATCTCCTCTAGAGCAGTGATGTTTTGGGGCTGTCGCTGGGCAACACGGACTTTCAACTCCCTCCAAAGATTTTCTATGGGGTTGAGATCTGGAGACTGGCTAGGCCACTCCAGGACCTTGAAATGCTTCTTACGAAGCCACTCCTTCGTTGCCCGGGCGGTGTGTTTGGGATCATTGTCATGCTGAAAGACCCAGCCACGTTTCATCTTCAATGCCCTTGCTGATGGAAGGAGGTTGTCACTCAAAATCTCACGATACATGGCCCCATTCATTCTTTCCTTTACACGGATCAGTGGTCCTGGTCCCTTTGCAGAAAAACAGCCCCAAAGCATGATGTTTCCACCCCCATGTTTCACAGTAGGTATGGTGTTCTTTGGATGCAACTCAGCATTCTTTCTCCTCCAAACACGTCTAGTTGAGTTTTTACCAAAAACTTCTATTTTGGTTTCATCTGACCATATGACATTCTCCCAATCCTCTTCTGGATCATCTAAATGCTCTCTAGCAAACTTCAGACGGGCCTGGACATGTACTGGCTTAAGCAGGGGGACACATCTGGCACTGCAGGATTTGAGTCCCTGGCGCCGTAGTGTGTTACTGATGGTAGCCTTTGTTACTTTGGCCCCAGCTCTCTGCAGGTCATTGACTAGGTCCCCCCGTGTGGTTCTGGGATTTGTGCTCACCGTTCTTGTGATCATTTTGACCCCACGGGGTGAGATCTTGCGTGGAGCCCCAGATCGAGGGAGATTATCAGTGGTCTTGTATGTCTTCTATTTTCTAATAATTGCTCCCACAGTTGATTTCTTCACACCAAGCTGCTTACCTATTGCAGATTCAGTCTTCCCAGACTGGTGCAGGTCTACAATTTTGTTTCTGGTGTCCTTTGACAGCTCTTTGGTCTTGGCCATAGTGGAGTTTGGAGTGTGACTGTTTGAGGTTGTGGACAGGTGTCTTTTATACTGATAACGAGTTCAAACAGGTACCATTAATACAGTTAACGAGTGGAGGACAGAGGAGGCTCTTAAAGAAGAAGTTACAGGTCTGTGAGAGCCAGAAATCTTGTTTGTTTGTAGGTGACCTAATACTTATTTTACCGAGGAATTTACCAATTAATTCATTAAAAATCCAACAATGTGATTTCCTGGATTATTTCCCCCCATTCTGTCTCTCATAGTTGAAGTGTACCTAGGATGAAAATTACAGGCCTCTCTCATCTTTTTAAGTGGGAGAACTTGCACAATTGGTGGCTGACTAAACACTTTTTTGCCCCACTGTAAATATGTGTCCCCTCTGTGTTGAGAGATTTTGACAGTTTCTGATCAGATTTTGGCCACTTTGTGATGTCACAATGTTTTTTGGCTTGTGTAACTATTAGCGAATAACAAACCAAGGTAACCCCCCCCCCCACCTTATCACCTGAATCTCCTCCTAGAGCATCATTGTGTTTTTTTAAACCAATCACTCCTCAGAGGGGCGTGACCAGCAGCAGCTCATTTGCATTTAAAGCTACAGACACAGAATCAGCACTTTTGAAACAGGGCTGAAACAGAGGGGATTATGGGATGATCTACATGGAATTTACAGTAATTTACATGGAAATAGAATGCTATGAATGAATTATAGGATATAAAATATGAAACAAGAAATATGTGCAGTAAGCAGTATGAACATTGTGTGCATTACTGTAATGCAAATAGAGTCTACGTTGTGGCTGAGGTAAGTGTCAGTGGGGGGGCCGGGCCTTGTTTAAGAGGCCGGTAGCGGAGGGGAAGAAACTGTTCAGGTGGCGTGAGGTTTTGGTCCTGATGGAGCGCAGCCTCCTGCCAGCGGGGAGGGGGGTGAACAGTTTGTGTCCAGGGTGGGAGGGGTCGGCCACTATCTTCCCTGCCCGCCTCAGGGTCCTGGAGGCGTGCAGGTCGTGGAGGGTTGTCTGCTTCAACGTCACGCCAACTTAAGATCCATATTCAAAACTACAGATTCAAAATTGTACAAGTTGAAGCGTTTGTTTTAACAGTGTGCAGGAGGCAGGGACTTGCTTTCAAGCGGAACAGAGGGAAAAATCAACTAGGCGGGAGTGTTTACGTGTTCGGTGTAATGACGTAAAATGGCCTCGACAACTTCTGTAGTCCTAAATGCTAACTTACTTCCGGGTTTTAGGCACTGTGGCACTCAGATAACACACAGGAGCTAGAAGACCAACCTGCTTCTTTTAAATCAGCTGTGTGGGAACATTTCGGGTTCCCTGTGGACTACAATAACGATGGAGTGCGAATGGTGGATCGGACGGGGACGGTGTGTCGGCGTTGTTCGACAGCGGTGCGGTATGCTACTAGTAACACACGTCAAACATGCTAAATCATATCAGAAGGCATCACCCAGATTTGCCAATCACCGGAGCCCAAAAGACAACAGCAGTTCAACAGCTGATCCCAGCTGTTTTTAATAAACCAATAGACATGAAAGCTGTGAGACCTAAATAAATAACGGAAGCTTTTGGCATATATATTTCAACGGCTATGCGCTCTTGAAACACTTTCTTATTATTTATGATGTCATATTTTCAAGACATTCTTTTTAGTTTTACAGCTTATTGAACCTTTTTGTTTGACATCAGCCATTATAGATAATATGGCCATCTGAGTGTGTGTGGTACTGTTTGTGGTTTGGTTTTAACTGTGTAATACAGTTAATTATTCAAAATGTTAGAGTTCCTTATTTTTAAACTGAAACTTGCACTACTGTTCAAAAATAAATAACAACAAACCTGGAATTATGCATTTGGGATTTGTTTTGCTTTTTGTTGTTGGACCGAACCCGTACCGAACCGTGACCCCCAAACCGAGGTACGAACCGAACCGTGACTTCTGTGAACCGTTACACTCCTACATGTTTTTTACATGACATGTTATTATGCGAGGTAATATACTTACATTACTGTTTTACTACAAACGACCAGTGGCGAACCGTCAGGGCCTTCAAGGTATTCAGAGAATACCCTGGAACACTCAGATAAAACAAACAAAAAATCGATTTAATTATATAAATAAAATGTAATAAAATGTATATAAAAGGAATAAATGAGAATCGTATCTGTGTTATTGATCTGTAATATTACAGTGTTACGTTGATTTGTTTGTCCTTCTCGGACCATGCACTACGCATTTCAGTGGTTTTGTGTTAGAAAAGAAAGCAACCAATCAGATCTTGTTCTGGGTCTCTGGGTAGAATATCCTTCAACCAAGGTATTCTACATCCTTGATAGAATGCCCTGGCCGTTGCACTGAATGAGAGCGTACGTTTGGACTGACAGTTTGATCAACCAATCATATATTGATTTGTAGCCAATGGGCGTATTCTTTCAGAGTTCCCCTCGGTTCCAGGGTATTCTAGAAGGCCCGCTAGTTCACTGGCTCGAGACAGAGGATCTAGATGAATGCGACGAAGCAATTCATGCCATTTTATTGTTTTTAACGTTGAAATGACAAGTGCAACAGGTGAAGATGAAGTTGTTGCGGAATTGTTGCGAGTACCCTTTTCAAGACGACAATTCAGTGAAAAGACGGACATTATAATGCCGCGGAGGGGGGGGGGGGGTGTGTCTACAGAAGGTCCAGTTGTGATAGACACGGTTCGCCACTACAAACGACTAATCAGTGAGTGCAGAGTGAACTGACCTCGGTCCAGCCGGATGCCCTCGTCGAAGCGAGAGAACAGTCTGTAGCGCTGGGCCCAGTATTTGGCCAGCTGCGGCTCGGCGGTCATCTCTGCCGGCACCGGCTGCTTCCTGCCTCGCTGTCTCTTCCTATTCTTCTTATTCTTCTTGTTTCTCACAGCCGACTCTAAACACTCATTCATACATACAGACTCATTATAAGACTACAACATTTTTCACCAGAAAACCTAAATCGTATTCTATTGGACTCATCTGATGTTTCGCTCACCAGTGTTGCCTTCAGGAGCATCAGCCATGAGACGATCAGGGATTTCCAGACATGTTAAGGATTTGTCGGGCTGCTCCTCCTCCCTCTCACTCTCTACAGTCCCACAGGTGAGGGTTTTCTCTGCATCCAAACTGGATATCAAATCTAAACTACCTTCTTCCTTTTCTTCTACAGCCTCTTTATCTCCTTCCTCAGCTTCCTTATCTCCTTCCTCAGCCTCCTTGTCTCCTCCCTCAGCTCTTGCTTCCTGTGTGCACCCTCCTCCCATCTCGCATCGGTCACATGGAGTCACCTGAGTCTCTTTCCTGTTCTTTTCAAGGAAGTTTTTCACCTGTGAAAAAAACAGTCTTCATTTAATTAGTCTTCTATGTAACATTGAAATTGATAAATAATAAAAACAGAAGCCACATTTAATTTTGGACTGACATTGATTACCCATATTTAACCTTCCTTTTCTTCTGCATTTCAACTTGAGCAGGATGTGATTTAAATTCTCTAATGTGGTTGTAATGTAATGTAATGCAGTTTGAAATATTGTGTTTGTAGCTTTAAAACCCCAGGGCAATGATTATCTGTCAAGAAATAAACACATGCTTCATTTCACAAAAGAGTGTTATTTTCGGTATGAAAGCAAATTATGGATTTTGGAAACTCATGTAAAGGCTAGATATACACATTGCAAATGTGCAATGTTGTTTATTCAATACATTTGAGGTAAATATTGTATTCTCACCTAAACCATCTGCTTTTTCGAGGCCCCACCACTATCAATTTAAACTGATTATTTTTTCTATATATATATGAATCTATTTTAAAGAGTATCCGGATGTTTGATCAACCAGAAATACCAACCATTTAAGAGAAAGTGGCCTTCATATTATCTGTATGATTCTCAGATTTTAAGTAGAAAGAATATCCACAATGACAATAAAGTTGGTTCAAAATAAAGACATTTGTCAGCAGGATCCACTGTGGTTTGTCATGGTTTATGTTTGGTATTGGTTAGTGTTTTAAATATTATCATGTATTATTGTGTGATTGCAGTGTGTTGTTTTAGTTGGGTCACATGGATGTGTGTGTGTGTGGGTGTGTATTTTAGTTGACCGCCACTTTTGATAGCTGTCCAATCCAATCCAACTTGATTTATATAGCACTTTAAAACCTCCAGACCAAAGTGATGTACTACAGAGATATATAAAATATAAAATCACACAGCTCAGCTCACAAAACATAAAATAAATACATTTAAAATAAAAGATACAAACACAAAACAAACCAGAATAAACGTAACAATAAACAAATTAAAAACAGCCATATAATAAAAACAATAGACCACTGAAAGCAAATAAAAGCAACAATCTACTTGTTTACGAATGCTAAGGAGAAGAGGTGGGTTTTAAGACGGGATTTAAAAGCAGACAGTGTGGGAGCCTGTCTGATGAGCAAGGGCAGGTCGTTCTACAGTTTAGGGGCGGCAGCAGAGAAAGCACGGTCCCCTCTGCGCTTAGACTTTGTTTTTGGCACCCTCAGGAGCGACTGATCAGCTGACCTGAGAGTGCGAGTGGGCATGTAGCTGTGTAACAGCTCAGAGAGGTAGGGCGGGGCCAGGATATTGAGGGCTTTTAAAAGTAAATAAAAGAGTTTAAAAATGAGTCCTCGAATGAACGGGCAGCCAGTGGAGCGAAGATAAAATGGGGGAAATGTGCTCGTGTTTGCGTGTGCCAGTTAGTAGCCGTGCTGCTGCATTTTGCACCATCTGCAGGCGAGCAAGGGAGGACGCACTTATCCCCATATATAGTGCATTACAATAATCCAAGCGGGAGGTGACGAAGGCATGGATTACCGTTTCAAAGAGGTCACTATTTAAAAAAGGCTTTATTTTGGCTAGCTGCCTGAGGTGGAAGAAGCTGTTTTTAACAACTGCCTTGATCTGGCTGTCCAGCTTGAGTTCAGGGTCCATCTCTATCCCAAGATTTGTGATGGTAGGCCTGGTGGAGTGGCCTAAGGATCCTAGGTCTATAGGAGTGGTCCGAGGGGCACCAAAAACCATCACTTCGGTTTTGTCATCATTTAATTTAAAAAAGTTGCATGACATCCAGGATTTAAAGATCCCATGTGCCATTTCCACTGTTGAGGTCTACTAAAATAGATTTATACTGTGCAATTTTCCAAACTCACATTGGTTCCTCATACAGCATCTCTGTAAAGTATGTGTATTCACTCTCTGTCCTAAACGGCTTGTTGGAGCTCCTGACCCCCCTCCCTGTGAGCCAAGTGTGCTCTGATTGGCTGAGAGGCTCGTTGCTGCTCGCAGCTCCTCGCAGCTGTATGAGCTGCTGCAGGAGCAGACAGGCTTTCCGCGTTGGCGTCTCGGCGATACAGGAGAACAAGCAAAACTCATCCTGAGCACACAAACGCTCACAGCCGAAGTAAAAACAATAAGTGTGGCTTGATATTGAGTAAGAAAAAGGTTTATAACGCTGTGAGAATGGGTCTGCGGAGAGCATTTCTCCACGATCCCAATGTAGTAGCCCGAAAGACGTTTACCCATTTAACAGTCGTGGTAGATACCTTGTTTGTTTTAAACATCATAAATACACAAACAACAACAAAGTAGGAACAGCATCGTTCTTCAGTGCCCTACGCTGTACATATCCGGCATGAATCGCTGAAAGGTTTGGGAAGCTTTGTTTCGTGAAATGCTGGCAGAGGTTGCGGCCATAGCTCTGGGCGTGGCTACTGGGCATCCCTACGTCACGATACCCAGGAAGAAAACATTGGAAAATGAGAAATCTCCAACGAGGGGTTTTGGGGAGGTCTTGTGTTAGTTTTACTCCCTACAGGGTGTATGTGGCAGTGGGGTGTGGTTAGGGCGCCGGCTGCTGGCGTGAAGGGAGTGGCTCGGCCGGAGGCCAGACAGCTGATCGGAATCAGGTAATCAGTGCCGGAATAAAAGCATGTCGTAACCTGGTTCTGGTCTGTTTGCAGTAGGCGGGATCCTGGAAGGTGGCAAAAGGACCTGTGAAGGTTGCCACACGGGCAACGTTGGAGACCTGTGGATACTTTTGTTTGGAGCTAATAAACGCCTGTGTTACACAAACCTGCTCTTTCCGTCCATATTTGAACCCTGTGTGAGCGGAGAGGCTCACAGTGTACTTTGAGGGTTTTTGACTCTGCAGACCATTTACATGCATAAAAACCTTCATAACACACAAGGGGACGGGTAATAACCAGAAAAGTATGACATGGGACATTTAATGTCTTCAAGGCAGTTTAACAGTGGTTTAACTGAATATGAGTCGTTCTTTTTAAGTGGCAATCGTCTGCATAGCAATGGAAAGCGATACCGTGTTTCCTAAGAATGGACCCAAGAGGGAGCAAATACAGGGAGAACAACAGGGTGCCTAACACTGAGCCCTGTAGAACCCCACAAAGGAGAGGAGCAGACGAGTCCCCAAGGCTGACGCAGAAAGTCCTACCAGACAGATACGACCTAAATCATTCGAGGGCTTTGCCCCTAATGCCCACCCACTGCTCCAAACGAGCTATCAGGATCTCATGGTCCACTGTATCAAAAGCGGCCGTTAAATCAAGGAGTAAAAGGATAATGCATTCACCTGAGTCTGTTGCTAAAAGGATATCATTAAAAACTCTTAAAAGAGCTGATTCCGTGCTGTACAAGGTTTTAAAACCAGATTGGAAGACCTCGAGTACCTTGTGCTCTTCCAGAAAAGCGCAAAGTTGACTGTATACAATCTTCTCTAGGATTTTGGACATAAAAGGCAATTTGGAAATGGGCCTAAAGTTTGCAAGAACTGTGGGATCCAGACTAGGTTTCTTAATAAGTGGTTGTACAACGGCATGTTTCCAATTTTCCGGAACAACCCTTGTGAGCAGACTGCTGTTAAAAACGTCAAGAACAAAAGGTCCTATAGTGGGGAATACCTCTTTAAAAAATCGAGGAGGGACAGGGTCGATTGGAGAACCAGAGGGATTTATTTTGGAGACAATCTCCTGCACAGAGGACAGAGTCATAGGCTCAAAAGGGTCAAAAACAGCAAAGCAGGGGGCAGAGAAAGAGGTGTCGTTTGACGGAGCAGTGATTTGAGTCCTAGTGGAAGTGACTTTATTAATAAAAGATTGAAGAAAATGTTCACAGACTGCAGGGGAGGTCTCCACACAGGTAGTCTGAGGGGCATTAAGAACTGAATCTATTGTCTGAAATAGTACACGAGGTGTGTGACAGTTCAGGGAGCACGACAAATAGACGGCAGGTTATTCAGATTCAATGATGTCAGAGAAATGCTTTCTTTTTGCCTCTTTTACAGTTTTCTGATAGAGACGCCAACACTGCCTCAGCATTTGAAAAGAGACTTGTAGTTTGTCCTTATTCCATCTTCTTTCAGCTCTACGGCATTCACGTCGGGCAGCCCGAGTCGTGGCATTTAGCCAAGGCTCGGATTTAGTTTTGGGTTGCCTTGTTTTTAAATGGAGCCACAGTGTCCATAGCAGCTTTACATGTGGAGTGAAACCATAAGTTAAGCTCCTCCGTAGTGTTAGACATAGGCTCATGGATAACACCGTTTTTCATGATTAAACACGGCCGAAAACTGACCAGCAGTGGAAGTGTTAATGATACGAGATAGCCGGGCAGCAGCGTGCGGTTTGACAGTAGTACAGGCAAGTGTAACATCAAATAAAACAGGCATATGATCTGAGAAAACAGCATCACATATCTCCAAGTTAAGAACAGGCAAACCATATGATAAAACAATATCAAGTGTGTGTCCGCGTTCTTGCGTGGGGCAAGACACACACTGAGCAAGACTAAAAGAGTCAACGATGTTTAAAAATGCCTTTGCCATAGGTTTCTCAGGACAACACACATGAATATTAAAATCCCCAACAATAAGGACACGGTCATATTGCGGCATAATTTCAGCCAGAAGGTCAGAGAAATCATTTAGGAAGTCCTTATTGTATTTGGGAGGTCTATAGACCACTGCACACAGCACTGTGTGAGAGCGGCCGAGCTCGAACACGCTCAGTTCAAAGCTGCAAGGAGAGAATGACAGCGATAGTTGCTGACATTTAAAATAACTCCTGAAAACTGTAGCTACTCCTCCGCCTCGGCCCGAAGTCCGTGAAGAGTTAAAATAGCATCAATCTGGAGGTAAAAGATCGGTAAAGGCGCTGGACTCACCAGTACCGAGTCATGTCTCAGTGACGAAGAGGAAATCCAGTCCTTTTGAAGTGAAGAACTCCTTAATGACAAAAGTCTTGTTTGTCAGAGATCTGGCGTTTATGAGGCCACACCTGGCAGGAGCCAGTGGGTCCGCGGCGTTTGAGGTCCAGGGAACCCGACAAATAGACAGCAGGTTATTCAGATTCACCCCGCGCCTGCGGGGACGAGGGGAGCAGGGCCCGCGGCCGGGCTGGAAAGCTTTGTCCGGGCCGATGACAGGTACCAACCAGGCATCGACAGGGTCCAGATAGCGACGATGAAGAGACAGGCAAGGCACGGCGAGGTATTCAGTCCTTGAGATAGGACAAGCTGAAAATTACTTCATCCTCACCAGTCGACCACTGCGTTTTCCGCGGTGGCGTTTACGGCGGGGAGTTGGAGCCGGGGTGCGGCACAGGTAAGCTGGTACTCCCAATAAGAACGGGGAGAGCGTTTTATGTCCACGATCCAAATTCACAGGATTTAATGCCGAAAAACGAAGATCCAGAAGTGTTTGGCAATCGTATACTAGTAGAGAGTTGACATTTAGAGCAAAAAGTGACAAAAACAGCACAATCACACACAACGCTCGCAGAGACGGACGGCATGCCACACACACTGGCGCCAGCTGTGATTATTCTGATAAATTACTTTGTGCAAGTTGTAACCAAAAGATAATTTAAATTAAATAAATATTTGTTCAACGTATTTCTGAGCACATCTATAATTTTTGGACAGCTCTTCATACAGAGCCAACTTTGAATTTGTTGATACAATTTCAATTAAGTGACATTTTGTCCTAAAAATCTCATTTGTATTTTTTGGGGGGAAAAGGGTGGACACTTTTTCACCTATACAGAAGATATCAGGTTGTGCCTGTTTCAGTGCAGCAACAGCAGACTAGTGAGTATACCATTTTAGTGGGGTGATCCTCTGTTGTAACCATTTACTTCAGTTTCGCATTTGTTCATCATCACCTCACTTAGCTAGAGTACATTGGTAATGATGCACTTGAAACACAGGAATGTGTTCTCAGAGACCTGCAGCTTCAGGTACCTTGTGGAGGGCGGTTCTGTTCTGTGGCGGTGTGTGGTCCGCCCCCGCCTCAGAGAACCTGGTGTGTTTGTTGACGCTGCGGACTGCTCCTTTAGTGAGCCACTGCCTCGGACGCTTCTGAGCAGCGCCGCCTCTGAAGCTCAACACGCTTTGGAACCTGGGACACAGAGACACAGACAGAGACATGAGCAGCTGCTCCATCAGGTCAACATATCAAACTGAGTGGCAGTCATCTAAATCAGAAGTAGTCTGCACAGACATAATACCAGTCAGAATCTGTTCCTCAAAGTTAACTACAACATTAAAGACAACATAGTTAGTAAACAGATTTGTATTGTCTCTATTCGCCACTGAAATAAGGAAATCATCAGAACATCATCACAAAGCAGATAATAAGAGAAGCGATTCTATAAGTACAGTAGCATCCCATTGGGCCGGAGCTCTCCAAGCCTCGGCACATAGGCCAACAATCTAAAGTATCAGCCCTGCACGTCTTCAACAAAGTATATATTTACAAGAAATGTGTTTAAATTGCATGCTTAACTCATAGAATACACCGCTGCATATCAAATCAAGTCCTCCTGGAGCTAACAGCATCCAGTGCTTCACTATTAATCCAGCCCAGGGGTCGGCAACCCCTGGCACGTGTGCCACCATTGGCACGCGGCACCGTAACCAGTGGCACACTAGGAATAAGTGTGCAAAATATTTAAAATTGTATTTTCGGATCCTGAAGGAGACCGCCGCCAGAGCGCGTCTCCCCGTTACCTGCAGAAGGAAGCCACGCAGCACAGAAGGATAACTTCTAGGCCCGCTCTCTTTAACTCCAGTCGACTTGCTGCTGCTTTCCTCCGTGGTGAAACGATCAGGGGTGTAGTACTGCCGGAGCGCCCAGGCACTTCACAAACTGCAGTACCCATGAAGATCTGTCCACATGCCGCAGTTTTTGCGTGGCTGTGTCTTTAGTTGAAAGCCCAGTGGCGATCTGCTCATCTCTCATCTAAATAATATGCTACACAGGGGCGGACTGGCCATGTGTGTTCTGGAGAATCACAGAACGGACGGTCGTCATTATTGTTTTACCGTTTAAACCAATTATTTAAATGTGTTTAAACGGCATCATATCAAAAAGGTTGTCGACCCCTAGCCTCTTCATTTTGGTGCATTTAACTTTAAAGTGCAACATTTGGAATGTATTTTTCTGTTATTATGCCTGTATTTTTACAATACATTTTATTTTGTGCAGCCCTGGCTCACATTCTTCACTTGAGAACTAATGAATTTACTAATGCATTACATTACATTACATTACATTGCATTTAGCTGACGCTTTTATCCAAAGCGACTTACAATAAGTGCGTTCGACCAACAAAATACAACTTGAAGAAAACAGAATCATATAAGTACATCAGGCTTCATAGAGCAAAAACATTTCAAGTGCTACTCAACTGGCTTTAGGTAAGCCAGTCCTTTATTAGTATAAAAGTGCTTCGTTAATAGTTCTATCGCTCGAAGTGGAGTCGAAAGAGATGAGTTTTCAGTTTGCGCCGGAAGGTGTGTAAGCTATCTGCCGTCCTGATGTCAATGGGGAGCTCATTCCACCATCCTGGAGCCAGGACAGCAAACCCACGTGTTTTCGCCGATGGGAACTTGGGTCCCCCTCGCAGCGAGGGCGCAGCGAGTCGTTTGGCTGATGCAGAGCGTAGTGCACGTGCTGGGGTGTACGGTTTAACCATGTCCTGGATGTACGAAGGGCCAGATCCATTCGCAGCATGGTAAGCAAGTACCAGTGTCTTGAAGTGGATTCTAGCAGTTATCGGAAGCCAGTGAAGGGAGCGGAGGAGCGGAGTAGTGTGGGAACATTTAGGAAGGTTGAAGACCAGACGAGCCGCTGCATTCTGGATGAGCTGCAGAGGTCGGATGGCACATGCAGGTAGACCAGCCAGGAGGGAGTTGCAGTAGTCTAGGCGTGAGATGACGAGAGCCTGGACCAGAACCTGCGTCGCTTTCTGTGTCAGCTGGGGACGTATCTTCCTGATGTTGTAAAGCGTGTATCTGCAGCAACGGGTTGTAGCAGCGATGTTTGCAGTGAAGGACAGGTTGTTATCTAGGGTCACACCCAGATTCCTTGCAGTCTGAGTCGGGGAAACAACTGAGGTGCCGATGTTGATTGTTAGGTCAAGAGTGGGACAATCTTTTCCCGGAAGGAAGAGCAGCTCAGTCTTGTCAAGGTTGAGCTTGAGGTGATGAGCAGACATCCACTGAGAGATGTCAGCTAGACAAGCAGAGATGCGTGCGACGACCTGGGTCTCTGAGCGGGGATAGGACAGAATTAATTGGGTGTCATCAGCGTAGCAGTGGTATGAAAAACCATGCGGGCTAATGACTGATCCGAGCGAGTTTGTGTACAGGGAGAAGAGGATGGGAACAAGAACAGAGCCCTGAGGGACCCCCGTAGTTAATTGACAAGGGTCGGACTCAGACCCTCTCCAAGTAACCCTGTAGGTACGGTCTTTCAGGTATGAGGTGAGGAGGGAAAGTGCAGAGCCTGAAGCTCCAAGTTCTTGGAGAGTGCGAAGGAGGATCTGATGATTCACCGTGTCGAATGCAGCAGACAGGTCCAACAGGATGATGACAGAGGAGAGGGATGCAGTTTTGGCAGTGTGCAGTTCCTCAGTGACAGCAATGAGAGCAGTTTCTGTGGAGTGACCTGCCTTGAAACCAGACTGGTGCGGATCCAGAAGGTTGTTCTGATTGAGATAACAGGAGAGTTGTTTAAAGACAGCGCGTTCAAGTGTTTTAGACAGGAACGGGATGAGAGAGACAGGCCTGTAGTTTATAACATCAGACGGGTTGAGAGTGGGTTTCTTTAGGAGAGGGTTTACTCTTGCCTCCTTGAGACTGTTTGGAAAGTGACCAGAAGTTAGAGAAGTGTTGATGAAATGGGTGAGAAACGGTAGAATATCAGGAGCGATAGTCTGAAGGAGGTTTGAAGGGATAGGGTCCAGAGGACAGGTGGTAGGGCGGGCAGAGGTAATGAGGGTAAGAACCTCACTTGGAGAGAGAGGGGAAAAGGAGGTCAGTGTGTGGGTGGAAGGAGGGTCTGGTGACCCAGCGGTGAGTAAAGGTGAGTCAGAAAAAGAAGAGCGAATATCATCAACCTTTTTTTCAAAGTGGGTAACAAAGTCGATTGACAGAAGTGAGGAGGGGGGAGGGGCTTTTGGGGGGGTCCAAGAGGGTGGAGAAGATGGAAAATAGTTTTTTAGGATTGGAATAGGAAGATTGGATCTTATCTTGAAAGAAAGTGCTTTTTGCCTGAGAGATCGAAGCAGAGAAAGAGGAGAGGAGAACTTGATAGGTTAGGAGGTCGTCACGGTGTTTGGATTTCCACCGTTTCCGCTCTGCTGCCCTAAGGACGGTTCTATTAGCACGCAGTGCATCATTTAGCCAGGGAGCAGGAGGGGACTGACGAGCCTGCCGAGATGTGAGAGGACAGAGAGAGTCCAGAGAGGATGAGAGAGTAGAGAGGAGAGTTTCTGCAGCAGAGTTTGGAGGTAGGAGTTGGAACGAGTCAGAGGAAGGGAGGGCTGAGAGCACCGACGAGGCAAAGGTAGAGGGAGAGAGGGAGCGAAGGTTACGGCGGACAAGTGCAGGATGAGAAGAGATGAGTTTGTTATGTTTGGAAAGGGGTAGAGAGAATGAAATGAAGAAGTGATCGGATGTGTGGAGCGGGTTTACAGAGAGGTTAGAAGTAGCGCAGTTCCTTGAGAATATGAGATCAAGGACATTGCCAGCTTTATGAGTCGGTGGGGACGGAGACAGTGAGAAAGCAAAGGCGGTTAACAGAGGTGTTAGTTCGTCTATCTTCCCCGTCTGGAGGTTGAAGTCTCCGAGAAGTACAGCGGGAGGGCCAGTTTCAGGGATGTGTGAGAGGAGATGATCTAATTCCTCCAAGAAGTCCCCCAAGGCGCCTGGTGGACGGTAGAGAACAACAATGGTTAACTGTATAGGATGGGTTACTGTGACGGCATGGAATTCAAAGGTGGAAGGAGTGAAGTTAGGTAGCTTGAAGAGGGAAAAGCTCCATTTGGGAGAGAGCAGGAGACCAGTGCCACCTCCTCTGCCAGTGGGTCTGGGTGTATGGGAGAAGGAATATGCTGTAGAGAGAGCTGCTGGGGTGGATGTGTTGGATGGAGTAATCCACGTCTCAGTGAGAGCAAGGAAATCCAGAGACTGCAGGGAGACGTAGCCAGAGATGAAGTCAGCCTTAGGAACAGCTGACTGGCAGTTCCACAGGCTGCCTGAAACTAGATGTTGGATCTCAGTGGAGCATGTGGGATAGACGAGAGCAGGCCGGTTATATCGATTACGAGATACACGGGGCCAGTGATAATTGCGAGAAGACACATGAACAGGAATGGAGAAAATACACATGATTATAGCCTGAGGGGCTAAACAACCAAATCAAATAAAACAAAAATAAAAACACCAGCGATACTTAGCTCAATCAAAGTAGGATTTGCCTCCCTCGTGACTCCCGCAGGACTCTAATGTCTTTGTCAGTCTTACTCCCACAGGACTCTAATGTCTTTGTCAGTCTTAGCCTGTCTGACGCTGAAGCTGACGCTCCAGGAAAGTGCTACCTAAAATGGACACCTGATTGCTGAGTTCTCACAGCTGTGGGGCCACGTCCTTTTAATTAGTTAACTCTCTGCAGCTGGTGGCCCTCAAAAGGAAATCTAGACTGGCTTCCTCTTGATGTGTTATTGTCTTTTAAGTCAATGACATTAAACCCTACATTATAAAGTCATGAGTTTAACCCTTAATACAGTTACACCTACTCAATAAAGCTCTTAGTATTCTACAAATGTTTAAATCAAAGTTAACCCTAGCAGTCAGTTAGTTCACTTTTAAGGTTTCAGTCAAATGACTTGTCCCAAGTTTCTGCCTGACAGATGCTGTAGCGGTTTTGAGTTTTAAAAACACAATTCCAGTCAGATCAACGACAGAGCATTTATACAGAGTACACACACTGAAACAGAGAAGTCTAAAAACACAATGTTACTCACACAATTCTAGAAGTCTCCAGTAGCTTTCTTGTCAAAAACGAGTTGCACACATAAAAAAAAATACAATATGCAATAGTGTTTTACTGTAAGTGAATAGTGGGAAGGATTCAAATAAAGAGGTGAGAGAAGAAAAAGAGAGACAGTGCTCCTACTACTATTCCAGGAATGAAGATTGCATAAATATTACAGTAACAAAATATAAGAGCCAAAACACATCTGTAACTACAGGCCAAAGAGCTGCAGCTGTTCTCAACATGCAGTGAACCATCTGTAAACATCAGTGTGTGTCTGCAGATAACAGACAGCTGCAGGACACTGTCTGCTGACACACTTCCAGAGGGTGTGTGAATGATAGAGCAGTGTGTGTGTGAGGGTCACACTCACAGAGGCTCAGGGTTGTGTTTAAGGCCCAGTTTACTCCAGGCTTCCTCAGGGGTCAGGTTCGGGCTCTCCTCCACATCCAGCTCATGACTGTAAACAGAAAATAATGCTTTAAAATGTGCATATGATAACATCTTACCTCAGCATCTTTTGACTATGAGCAGTTTAGGCCCACATGATAGCCCTTTCTTGTGGATGGTAATTGTGTTGCATTTCTTCTTACTTTCAGTAAATCATTTTGTATTCATCTTTCAGAAAATGTGGCCCTATTATGCTTTTTGGGGTTTCCCTTTGGTGTTGTGTGCTCTATAGCTTTATGTGCATGTAAATGTTCTGCAAAGGCTCAAAACGTGTGGGAATTGGAATGAAACTACCAGCATTAGAGTGGTATGACAACATTTCATTTCTCTTTGAAGTCATGACTGTCCCAGCAATCCATTTTTTTTGTTCATGGGTCAAAGTATTCTCATGAATAAACGTGTGCCTCGATATCATTTCTCACTTGGATTTTATAAAAAGGATAACGTTAACTAGCTTTCCTGCTGCCAATTGCAAGCAGTTGTTGATGTTCAGCTACTAACTCATGTGAACCCTTTGGCTGGGGTAAAGGTCCCTCTTTTCATACAGTTCTCCCCGAACACCAAACATACAGCAGAATCTCACCTGCGTTTGACCTCAGCCCCTCCTCCTCCTGGGGGTTTGTGATGTTCATCATCATCTTCTCCATTTGACGTTGCTTTCCTGTTGCTGCTCTGTCTGTCAGCGCCGCCAGGGGCATGCTGGGAATCTGAGGCAAAAACTTACCAGATATTACCAGCACACATCATACACATTTATTTAATTAGCATTTTTCCAACCCTAATATGTGACACTAAGTCTGAAATGTATTTACTAAATGTATCAATTAAAAACTACAACAATAGTAAGAAATCACAATAATAATAATAATATACAAATAAATTGTAGAATCAGGTTGAAGCCAAATGTGGTATTAATCCCTTGACAAGATTGTGCTTTCTGCAGTTTGAATATTGAACATTTTGAAGAATAGTGCAGCCTTGACACACACATACTGTGTGTATGTATATTCATGTGTTACCTGTTTGTTGAGCTGTGTGTCCCTGTGAGGAGGCAGCATGTCTCCTGTGATCACTCCCCCCATCAGAAGGACGATCAGAGACACAGAGCTCTCTCTCTGACTGCTGTCTGATGTCACACACACTCACACACTCCGCCGCCTCTGAGTCACTCACTGATCTCACACCTAACGTGCAGCTGTGTGCAAACAGATCCTTTAAACCCTCAGCGTCATCACGAAGAGCCTCCTCTTCCTCTGCTCTCTGCTGGTCCTCAGTCTGTCCATCCCTCCCTCCCTCTGTCTCTGTGCCCCCCACCCCCCCAGTGTTCCCCTCCCAGGCAGGCTGCTCTGCACTCCAGCCCTGTGCTGCCCAGTATGAGTACTGGTCCCAGTATGAGTAGTATGTCTCTGCAGCGTGTGTGTCCCAGGCAGCTTTAGAGTGTGGGTCATCCCAAGGAGCAGTCCCTGCTCCTGGGTCAGTCTCTGGAAGCTTCTCCAACCAGCTGCTCCACAGCAGAGCTTCACCCTGTTCAGCTACAGGAAATAAATCAAAATAGAGAAGCAATATTTAATATGTGAGGTAGTAAATGGTTTGCTCTCACTCCTCTTTATCCCCAATGCAAACACCTGGTGTCCTTTTACCCGTGCTCCATTCATAGGTCACACAACATGTAGCCACCTCCATGACCACTGAGCAAACTGTGCATAATTACACTTTGGTCCTTATCCTTTCTTTGTAAATAATCTTGAATTGAATTGATATGTATTTGTTTTTTATGTAATGGGCCTACACAAATAGTCAAAAGTGGTGATGAAAAATGTAAATCTGGGGACAAGTTTTTGAAAATGGTGTTTAATCAGACATGAGAGCAACATGTGAAACTGTCAGATAATTGACATAAGAGGTGCAAGTCTGCAGGGGCTGTGACACACACACACACACACACACACACACACACACACACACACACACACACACACACACACACACACACACACACACACACACACACACACACACACACACACACACACACACACACACACACACACACACACACACACACACACACACACACACACACACACACACACCACACACACACCACACACACACACACACACACACACACACACACACCACACACACACACACACACACCACACACACACACACACACACACACACTCACACACACACACACACACACACACACACACACACACACACACACACACACACACACACACACACACACACACACACACACACACACACACACACACACACACACACACACACACACACAGAGTGTCATGGTGCATGTGTGATGTCCTCCTCCATACCCCAGTATGCTTCCCAGCCAGCAGCCTGGGTCTCTTCAGTGGTTTCCTTCATTGAATCACACACTGCCACTGCGTCAAAAATCAAAAGGTAAGTCAACGTAAAGGTCACATATTATTATGTTGTTATTAAATATGAATGAAAACAATAAAAGTATAACAAATACTTGTTTCATGATTAGACAAAAGAGTTACTTTATGACATAAACTGATGCATATGATCCAATCACTGGGAGCAACCGGCTCAGTTTATATCTTTACTATTTACTTTGGATGAAACCATCCTGCTGGCCTCAGTAACCTGCCCTGTTTATATTTATGAATATTAATAATTACAATAACCCGTCGCATTTTACCTTTGTTGTTAATTTGTAGATCTCCCTCCTCTTCAGTGGATTCTTCCCAACATGTGGCAGGCTTCCTGTTGGACCTCCTCCCCTGTCACATGACCACAACAGGCTCATTTAGCAGCAGGAAGTGCCCATTACAGTCAGTTAGACAATACAAAGAGCTACACAGACTGGGTGCTACAGGGAAGGTGTCAGGTGACTCACCCCTCTCCTCTGCTTAGAGGAGCTTCCAAAGGCAAGGGGCAGACCCATGTTCGCCATCAGCTGAGCCTCCTCCTCCTCCTCCTCCTCCTCCTCCTCCTCCTCCTCCTCCTCCTCCTCCTCTCCATCATCTGCCTCTGTGAGGTGAGAGGTAATGTTTTCACAGCTTCTGAATAGACGCTGTAAAGCTTGCACCTTCCTCTGTATATGTGTGGGCCCACTCTCCCTCCCCAGCCATGATCCTCAAACTACAGTACCACTCCCCTTTGAATGTCATGGGGCTCCAGCCCACAGCGCCCCGCACTCAGCGACCTTTGACTCCTTGTGACACATTTATGATGTCTGTAATCACTATTTATTATTATCATCTGTATTTGATATTCATTACACCAGTTGTTAACTAATATATGCTTAATCCCTGCACCTTATATGTGTATGTTTATAAACTACAACACTGTTTGTTATGTGAATCCATTGAAGCCTCATGCACTTTACTACTCTTTCAACTTTCTGCTTTCTGCTACTCCATGTTAACAATACCGTTTCATCTAATGTCAATATGTTGCACATTTCTGTTCAATGCTACTTCTTTATAACTGATTATAAAATGAATGGTGTACATTGACACCATCTTGTTTTACTTCCCTTGTTATATACTTATACTTTTACACTTTGTTGTTCTTCTTTTTAGTATGTTTTATCATATATTTGTTTATACAGCCTTTTCAAATAGTAATATATTTGTTCTCTTTTTTCTACTTAATTCCTCTCAGTTCTGAATGTGTGTGTTAGTGTGTGTGTTAGTGTGTGTGTTAGTGTGTGTGTTAGTGTGTGTGTTAGTGTTGAAAGTTCAACATATACTTCTATTAGTTACCTTGGACTGTGCTGGTCACATCAAAGGAGAGCAGTCTGTTGTCAGAGCGGTACAGCTCCCGGTCCCTGTGGAGAACACACACACACAGTCAGAGAACACACACACACACAGTCAGAGAACACACACACACACACACACACAGTCAGAGAACACACACACACACACACACACAGTCAGAGAACACACACACACACACACACACACACACACACACACACACACAGTCAGAGAACACACACACACACACACACACACACACACACACACACACACACACACACACACACACACACACACACACACACACACACACACACACACACACACACACACACACACACACACACACACACACACACACACACACACACACACACACACACACACACACACACACACACACACACACACACACACACACACACACACACACACACACACACACACACACACACACACACACACACACACACACACACACACACACACACACACACACACACACCACACACACACACACACACACACACACACACACACACACACACACACACACACACAGGGCTCTGTGGGATGCTTACTGCACGAAGGCTCTGGAGCATAGGCAGTGGATCCTCTCCTCCTCCTCGTCCTCCTCTTCCTCCTCCAGCTTCCTGCTGAAGAAGATCTCCGCGAGCAGCGTCACCCTGCTCCTCTCCAGCATCATGACTCAGCAACTCTCTAACACCGTGCAGCAAGAGCTCATACGGTCCAAACTGTTTCTTCAAGTCTGTGTCAAGAACAGCATGGCAGCATCTCACACAGGTTCAGGGAACTTCCGCTCGGACTGGCAGCGACAACATGGAGACTTCCGCTAATGCATTTTCAGAATAAAAGAGACAAATGCAGAAAAACACATTGTTGGTGTCTTCTGTGAACAAAAATAAGATAATAGGAAAACTAATAGGTTTTCCTCAAATGTAGTCATTCTGTTATCTGTACAATAAGAGTAAGACACACTGTAACGTTCTCTAAAAATGGCTGCCCTATAAATACCAAATGTTGAATACAACCCAAATATTGTAACCCTTAGATGGATAAGTGGGTCTTTTTTGACCCGGTGAGGTGGTTTTCTTGTATTATCTTTGTAATTACATTTTTTTATCATTTCATATTCCAGCTATTCCTCAAAAAACATGTTTTGGATATCATGCCATTCCAATTTTAAATTGACATTTTAAGAAATTGTAGTTTTTACATCACAAGTGACACCTCTCAGGACGATTATTTTACACAGCAAGATCTGATACCTGTCAGTATAATAATAATAATAATAATAATAATAATAATAATAATAATAATAATATTAATAATAATAACAATACATTATATTTTTATAGGGCACACAAAGGACTCAAAATTGCTTTACAATATAAGGGAAGGTTAGGGTGGGGGGTATAGATGAGAGTAACACCTACGTCACTTCCGGGCAAACATTACGGCCCCGCCCACTTTTTGGGGAAAACAACGCTGTCATTTGAATGGCGGTCAATACAAATTCTGAAGTTTTTGCCAATCCAATCAAATTTTTTGGAAAACCGTGGATTTTTGGATCTTCAAAGAGCCCGATTACGATGGCCAGACAGGCAAACAATTACATTCGATCATTGGAAATCGACAATCGGTCTTGATATATGGTTAAATTAAAATCAGTAGGCGAGGCTGTAATTTCTCCAGCTGTTACTCTCATGAGCGAGGCGGAACATAATAGTTTTATCATGCCAACAAGCTGCCGTGTCGTTTATTGCACCTCAAACATTAAAAATAATCAAGAGTTCAGTATTTCTGTACTTCCTCTAAGAAGAAAGGACAGTAAAGGAAGAGCTCTGTGGCTTCAGGCTCGATCGCCATTCAAATGACAGCGTTGTTTCCCCCAAAAGTGGGCGGAGCCGTTATTTTTGCCCGGAAGTGACGCATTTGTTAGTGGACTATCAAACTTGATCAACCGGCATGGATTGATGGGGGGTGGGCTATGAGTAGACAAGAGGAGAAGAGATGAGTTTTGAAAAGGGACTGGAATACTATGAGGGTCTCAGAATAGGGTTTTCCAAATATAATTTGTTTTCCAAATAGTGAAAAATTAAATATAAGATGTTTCTAGTGTGAACCAAAATATAATACTAAATATTATGCAAGTGATGCAAACATGGCATAGAAACACATTATTCTAATACGGGTCCTTTTTGACCCACTTATGGAATAGTGTACGGTCCAGTCACTCGTGCATCTAAGGCGTTGCTGATTCAGAACTTGTGTTTTTAGTTATCAAGAACACAACAAATACACCCGATTTAATTTGGCTCATGTATGTAGATCATTTACTTGTAATTACTGTAACAGACTCTTCGACTGTATCGTTAGATTAATATCTATAGCCTACATTTATTTAGTCGTTTAGTTGTGCAAGTATGAGTAGGGATTGATGCAATCATATTTGATGACAACACATTTTCATCAACTTTGTTGCTCTTTATTTAATGTATGTGTGTGTTCATTTTGTGTCATGTTGCATTTTTGAAAAATGTATTGTTTTCAAACACACAGTATTTGCACTTTTATTTTGAAGGAAGTGTCTGTTGTGTTGCTGTTTAGCGGAAATGATCTGTCGGTCCAGTATTGTCAGGAACTGAATCACCCTAAGGGTTAACACCTTGTCGTGTCACCGTCAAAGCGTTCCGGGTTCAGGGACAGGGCAGTTGTTAGCTTACGGACTTGAATGTTCTTTCCGTGTAATATTAAATATATATGAGCTTGTTTTAATGGATCTGTTCATGGAGTAGTCGACTGTCAAAGGTAACGTGTTCCTGTCAGTATTCTGTGTGTGGTGTTATTTAAGGTGATGCTCTCTGTTTACGCTGAAGGCTTCGCTGTCAACTCACATTCTTCTGGTTCTGCCAATAACACTCGTTAGCTCACTGTTTTAGCTTAGCTCATTTAAGGTTACTAGGTTATTAAATGTATTGCTTTGACTGTATCCGTCTTCTTCTTATAGCTACAGTGTAACGTTAACATTGTTCCCTGCAGTAAAGCTATGCTCCAATAAATAACTATCATGTGATTCAGTGCTAAATACGTCTGGTGCTCGTGACTACAGGGCTATAGAAAAAGTGTCACTGTATTTTTACAGTTATCATTGTACAGCTTTTTTAAGTCAGTTAATTTATTAGTTGATTGATAGAGTATTTGTCACCTGTACAATTTGCTAAACAACAACTATGACTTTTCTCAGTTTCAGTTTCTCTAGTGAAACTGCTCATGTCCAGGTGTGTATCAGTATGTAGTGTCTCTCCTGGGACATGTCTCCATGCTTTAATGCTCAAAAGCTCTTTATTCTTCTCATACTGCCTGTGCTGCAGCACCTCTTTTCACCCTCTGTCTGAAACCAGAGCCCAGTCTGCTCTGATTGGTTAGCTGGCCGGCTCTGTTGTGATTTGTCAACCGCTTACAGAGGTCCAGCCCCTTAGCCTATCACGTACAATGTGTTGGAGCGCTAGCCAATAGAAGTGCCAGTGATGTCATTATGTTACGAAAGTAAACAAAGTCTAGCATTAAAGCTTTCTTCCATGAAATAATATGCAATGTAACTATCATGTGATTCAATGCTGCGAATGAGGCTGGTGCTCGTTACTACATTGCCATTGAAATCCCGATATTTACCTGATATGACAGGCAAGACAATTGCAATATTACAACATTTAAGCTAATGGACTAACGAGTGGTGTTTTCCTCCTGTAGTTCACCTGTGTGTATGCAGATGTTCTCCACACAGTGTGTTCCGTCCCTGTGAGGCTCATCTCAGCTGTTTGAAGCGTCTGTCAGCAGGATGTCCCGCAGCGGGAACGAGTCCTGTCTGAGGGGAGCAGAGGACACCGTCTCCTTCCTGGTAGGACTAGGATCCCTGTCCTTTTTTTCAATTCATTTCAAACCTTTATTTAACCAGGTAGGTCCCATTGAGATCATTGATCTCTTTTTCAAGGGATACCTGCCAATATTTGCATGATGATTGCTGTTCATTCTTTCACACACACAGGTAATGCATACATGCATATGTACATTTGCATTGGAGTAATGCAAAGGTGGTAGAGTTAGCAGTCAGCGCTCCAAAAATGCTCTCATCAAATTATTAAAGGAATTGGTTGATTACTCGACCAAAACCTAATGATTATTTGATCGTATCAGGGGTTTGACTACTGTTTACTAACGTGCCAGTTGTAGCTCAGTTTGTTCAATTGAATTGTTATTTATTGCGGTGCTGTTGGAAACATGTTGACATGTTGGAGCAAAAAAAACTAGAGGAAAACATCTTTTAAATAAAACATGAAGACAATAAAAACGTGTGCCAGAAGTTAAGATTAACATAAAAACAAAACACAGGAACGTAAGAGTCCCAAAAGGAACAAACAAAGGAATCTTACTTCACATCACACACATCTCAAGGAGACACAAAGGCCAATTTAAAAAGATGGCTCTTCAGTTGTTTTGCCGAATGTCTGTAGGGGGAGAGTTCCATACTGTTGGAGCCACTACTTCAAAGGCTTTAGTTCTCAACCGAGAGCGAGGGGCAGCCAGTAGGCCCCGGACGGAAGACCTAACATGCTTTAATACTGCCTGTGCTGCAGCACAAGTGTTTTTCAGGATCTCATTATTTGGTCTGTGTGTGCTGTTCCACAGGTGTGTGTGTTCCATCAGTGGGAGGAGTGGGCGGGCCTCGGTCAGTTGGAGGACTATCTGAGTGTTTTGGAGTACCTGCTGTGGGTCTTCACCCCTCTGATCATCGTCTTCATCCTGCCCTTCCTCATCGTCATCCTCCTTTACCTCTCCATACTCTTCCTTCATGTCTACAAGGTACGCAAACACAGTTTCCATCATGTTCTTTTGCATTATGTCAACAGTAAATTACACGTCATGTCACTCACAAATGATTCCAAATGTCATCTATTTATATAAAATAGTAAGTGCCGAAGTGTCAGTGTTTGGAGGGAATTTCATCCCCTTCATCAGTCTACCCTAGAATAGATTATTTATTATCAACACTAAGGAAAGTTAAATGGTGGAAGGGAGTGAGAGTGGGGTGGTGGATGTCTCAGACCATAGTCAAATCACAATGAATCTAAACAAAATATTTCAACTCTAATTATTGATGATATACTCTTAAAGGTGGGGTAGGTAATTTTGGAGAAACCAGCTGGAGTGCGCTAGAATTTGAAAATACACAGCCGGAAAAAATCTGCCACTTCCTTCCAGAGCCCCTCCTCCAACACACACGAACGCACACATGACCAATGAGGGCACGAGATCAGTGTGTGCACAGATGGAAGGCTGACAGGCAGGTAGGCCATCCAGTTACTTTAGCCGGGCCGGCTCAGATGATTGGTCGTGCTTTTTACAGTACCACGGCTTCCACAGATGACGTTTTTTAATGGATTTTTGTCAAAGCACTTCAGATATTCATTGCTATCGAGATGTTAAGAGCATTCCATGGAATATAACAAAAAGTGTATCTCGAGCCGGTTTCTCAAACTTACCTACCCCACCTTTAACTTAAAGTGGACCTATCATGCTATATTTGAATAATATATTGTAGGGCCATACCTATATAAAACATGTATGTCAAGTTTTTTTTTCAAAATACCAAACAGATCATGAAAAAAAAAGAAATACCTTTTTGAACATTAAAGCATATTTCTAGAACAGATTATAAATCGCCTGAAAATGGTACAAACAAGTGGCAACATGTGTGACGAAGGTGTTGCCCTGGGCTTTATCATGCAATAGAAACTTTGAAACTTAAGCTCGTTCCATTGTGGAGATAGTCCCGCGAGAGTGCATATGTATTTATTTATTTCAAATGTGAAATGTTACCAATATACTCACGGACCACTAGGGGGCGCTCACGGACCACCAGTGGTCCGCGGACCACACTTTGAGAAGCACTGCCGTAGAGGATGCTATTGCAGTAGTGAAGTCGTGAAGTGATGAATGCATGAATCAGGGTTTCAGCAGCAGAGGAGGAGAGTGATGGGCGGAGACGGGCAATGTTTTTGAGGTGGAAAAAGGCGGTCCTGGTGATGTGATTGATGTGGTGGTTGAATTTGAGCTGACTGTCGAAGATGACTCCGAGGTTGTGGATGTGAGGGGGGGGGGATAGAGTGTGGCTGTCAATGGTGAAGTTGAAATTCTGGATGTCTTTGATACGGGATGGGGGGCCGATGATGATGTCTGATTTGGCACTGTTCAGTTGGAGATAGTTTGTTTGCATGCATGGTTTTATTTCTGAGAGACAGTTGGTGAGAGTGGAGTGTGTTGTGGGGGTGATGGTTTTTGTTGAGATATAAAGTTGGATGTCATCGGCGTAGCAGTGAAATTGAAGGTTGTGGCGACTAATTATTTTGCCAAGGGGGAGCATGTAGAGGATGAAGAGGAGGGGGCCAAGCACCGAACCCTGGGGGACGCCTTGGGACAGAGGAGCAGTGGAGGAGGTGCAGTTGTTGATGTTGATAAACTGATGTCTGTCGGTGAGGTAGGATTTCAGCCAGGAGAGTGCAGTGTCGGTGATGTTGAGTGATGATTCGAGGAGGGACAGCAGGATGGTGTGGTTGATGGTGTCGAATGCTGCGGTGAGGTCGAGAAGGATGAGGATGTTAAGGTTGCCGGAGTCAGAGGAGAGGAGGAGGTCGTTTGTGATTTTCAGAAGAGCTGTTTCGGTGCTGTGTTTTGATCGGAAACCGGATTGAAATGGCTCAAAGAGATCATTGGAGCTGAGGTGGGCTTTAAGTTGTGAGGCAACGACACGTTCAAGTATTTTTGACAGAAAGGGGAGATTTGAGATGGGCCGGAAGTTGGACATGATGTGAGTGATGTGATGTGATGTGATGTGAGTCCAGGTCTTTTGAGAATGGGTGTGACAGCAGCCAGTTTGAGAGAGGGGGGAACTGATCCAAATCTGAGGGAGGAGTTAATGATGGTGGCGATGAGTTGGGAGATGGCAGGGAGGCTCTCTTTAACAAATTTGGAGGGCATTGGGTCAAGTGTGCAGGTGGAGTTAATTCCAGTCATGAAGTTGGACAGTTGCATGGGGGTCACAGGGGAGAAGTGGGCTGTGAGGTGAAGGGGGGGAGCCAGGAGGGGAGGTGGGGGTGCTGATGAGGGTGTTAGATTGCTGTACATGTTGCTGATTTATGAATATGGTCTAGCTGCAGCCGCAGCAAGACACAACACTACGGTGGCTGAGAGACATTGATACCGTACATGGCAGATTAAAAACGAATTGCAAATGTTATTGTAGCATTTTAAGCAACTATTAGGCAAATTAATTAATAATCTAGTCTATCTGTTTGAGACACAACAGTATATGACTTTAAGCACAAATCATTTTGTCTAATTAATAAATTAAAACAAAAAGGGGGGCTTAGTAAACTTTATTTTTTAGTACATATAAAATAGGTAATAATGAGACCATCTATTAATGTTTGTCTAACTGCTACACATGTATTTATACATAAATGTAGATATTTATGAACATCTAAATATAGTTGTTAAAGGTTTTAAGATATAAATAATCACATCATGGGATCATTAAGGTTTCAAACAGGTTCATGTAAGGTAGGCCTACTATAACATGAAAACATGATTTTTAAATGTCTGAATCTCTTATTAGCCTGTAGTTTGGAATATTATTGATATGGGCTGGATACCCCTTCACAATGATCATCATTGACTTTTTTAGACCAAATTAGGAGGGCCACTCATGGCCACTAATGAGCTCAATCATTCACATTTATTATTATTACTTTATAAATTAAGAGTACTAAAGTAGGAGTCTATTACAAAACCTTTGAAGGAATCGTCATGCATTCTGAATGTTTCTGTACTTTAAAAACATCATGGCTCAAGATCCTGTTCTTGTTTAAGATTATTCATACTAATTTGTGAATTTAACGTCCATATTCACTCTTCAAAACTGAAACAACACCAACAATTTTTTTTAAAGCATTGCAGGCCTAAAGATCCACGTCAGTGAGCTATATTTAATTTCTTCCATCAAACTTTAAAAATGGCAAACAGCATGTTTTTAAAGATTTAATCTTTTAACCTGTTCTACACCGCCCCCCCGATACCGGGAGGAAAAACGCGTCATCTGCAGGAAACAGCGTCTGAGGGCATCTTAATATTCAATAAACTATGAATGTCTTATATCCATGTAACGGGAAGAAACTCAGCTAACTGATCTTTCTTTTTTTTTTAAAACCCACAAAGCTAGCGCTGAGCCTATGAATTAGCCACAAGCGAAAAAAAGCTAACGGAGTGTTGCACAGAAACTCACTCATAACACCCTTATTACTTATCGTAGCTGCACGTCCAACCCATCGATCTGATCGTGAGATGACACAGAATTGATCGGTACATACATCATCACTCCATGATAAGAATTCCTGAAGCTATTAACAAGAACAGACATCAAAAGATGTGGCGCTAGGTAGCTAAAAACGGCAACATGGCTCACCTTGGTTGTTGTCTGGTCAAAAGTGGTCTTCAATGGCATTAAAACGATAAAAACGCTGCTGAAGTTAATCCATAGGTTAATCCAGGGGTACTCAAATACAAATCTTAAAGGTCCAAAATAAATGTTTCAATAAGACAAAGGTCCGTTTATTACGGTCATTCAAACTTTTAAACAATTGCAACAAGATTCTTAACACGAGGTTGCAAAAACAAAAATAATCTGAATGCAGCAGTTTTCATTGTTATTGTGTCTGTGCTTGACCCCTCAGAGTCGCAGTGTCAGAGCTGCACAGTTATGAATAAAGGCAGCTGCACCCTCTTTCATTCAGCATTCCCATTATTGCTTTATAAATGTCTTGCCCCCTTGTGTGTCCACTGAGGTTCGTCAGGCCCAACACATCTTCAACAAACTCCCCCTTTGCCTCATCATAAAAACTCACAAACACCAGCAACTGAGCATTGTCAGTGGTGTCAGTGGACTCACCCACAGCTAAGGAAATGCACTGTGCATTTTCTATTCCATCACAAAGCTGATGAATCAAATCACCAGCCAGTATTTATGTTCTTCTGGTTGCTGTGCAATCTGAGAGGGGATTTGCTTGATTTGACCTGTTATTTCCTCTTTTTGTTTGCCTTCAACATGGTCTCCATCACTTCAGTCATGCATTCTTTTATACTGCAGTTATTATCCAGTGGAAAGTCCTTACCTACTGGCCTAGTTCAATCAAAGTGGTTACTTTTTTTTGGCTGGGCAGTGTAGTTTTACACACCGTCTTATTTGACTTTCTCAGGACTAAAAACAGTTTTTTGGGGGCAGACCCCCTCAAAGAAAAAAATATTTACACATGTAAGGTCATCATCTTAATAGTTTTGTATGCTCATCCGTGAGCAGAGCATCAAGTTGACATGTCTATTACAGCTGAATGCGGCGATTACCATTTTGTTCAGCAAAACGCCTCACAAACGTATTAAGATCAACAGCTTTAGTGCGTTTTGATTCAATGCTGAGTACAGCCACACTGACAGTCTCTTCTCTGTCATTGTAGACCGCAAATACCTCATTCCTTCAGTGCTTGGGTCCGAAAGCTTCTCGTTTTGCGCCGTCCCTACTCCCCAAATGAAATCGCCGCCAATCATATGTCCACGCTCGCAGGGGCGCCGCCAGGGATTTTGGGCCCCATGAAAAGATATCAAATTGGGCCCCCCCACCACCAGGCCACGCCAACCAAGCACAATTGCTAACCACACCTCCAGAACCCAACCCACTCATTTATGCTTTAAATAACTCTACATGTACAGGCTTGCATCTATCTTGTAGTCCAAAACTAACCGCACAATATTTA